GGACTCTATTGCCAAAACGACACTGTAGCTATTTAAACATATGACAAGAAAAGCCTTTAACTTGTTAAAACTTGACTGATATAAATAAGGGAACACTTAAAAGCTTGATTTCATTTTCAACTATACATTTTAATCATCCTAATAGCTGTTGCAGCTTTTAATGATTTAATGATTTCTGTTTAAAAACATAATTCTGAGGAGCATCAGTTTTCCTGCAGCATTTCAAAGTTCATCCACATGTTGTCGTACTTTGTATTGATGTGCTTCTCGTCTGGCTCCATTATCACGTGTTACGTTTTTCAATAACGACCGCCTTGCTGCACATCATCCCTTACGGCCCCTACACACGGCGCCGTGCGTTGAAGCTTGCCGGCGGGCGTGTCTGAAACTCGACCAACACAAGCAGTGGTTTGATTGGCTAGAGCTTGTACTGGCATATGATTCGATTGGCTGACGCTTCCGTCGAAGCTTCAAAAGTAGAACATTGCTCAACTTTTGAAGCGAGCAAAGCGAAGCTCCCACAATGCAGTTCGGCGAAGCGTGACGTCACCCCATTCAAAGTGAATGGGCAGAAGCGTTGAAGTGTCAACGCACGCCGCCGTGTGTAGGGGCCGTTACTAAACAACCTCTGAAATGTCCCAATGAACCAATCAGAATCGAGTATTCAACTAAGCCGTGTAATAAGTGCTGATTAATGCTTGGTGTAACCCCTCCCCAGGTGCAGCAGGAGGGGAAGAAGGAGGCGTCGGTGTCGGACGGCACCAACCAGAACTACACCGTGGGCCTGGTTGCCGTGGTGATCAGCTGCTTGTCGTCGGGATTCGCCGGCGTCTACTTTGAGAAGATCCTGAAGGGCAGCTCGGCGTCCGTGTGGATGAGGAACGTCCAACTGGGCGTGTTCGGCATCGCGCTCGGCATGCTGGGACTTTGGTGGAACGACGGAGACGCCATCGCCGAGCGCGGCTTCTTTTTCGGCTACACGGGCATGGTGTGGTGCGTCATCTTCAACCAGGCGTTCGGAGGGCTGCTGGTTGCCGTGGTGGTGAAATACGCCGACAACATCCTGAAGGGTTTCGCCACGTCCTTCTCCATCATCGTCTCCACGGTGACGTCCATCTACCTGTTCGGTTTCCACGTGGACCTGCTCTTCACGGCGGGGGCGGGGCTTGTGATCGGAGCCGTCTACATGTACAGCCTCCCCAAAGCGGCGCCCAGCTCCTCGTCTCCTTCCTCCGCCTCCTCCTCGTCCCCTTCCTCCTCCTCGCCCCCTTCCTCGGCGTCTTCAGCGTTGAACGGAGGCGTCGAGATGGAGGCGTTTCTGCCAAAGTCAGTGCTGGTGAAGTGACTCTGTCTGTTTCCTCCTGATCTCCTCCTAACTCTCTGGAACTTTCTCTGAGTTCTCTCTAACTTCATCACCTCCTCCTGGCTTTTTGCTGACCTCCTCCTGACCCCTAACCTCCTCCTGACTTCCTCCTCTCCTCCATGTGAAGGAGAGTTAGTTAGAAGGACTCGACGAATGAGAGAACTCCCTCCTGATCTCCTGCTCAGCTTCTCCTAACTCTCTGGAACTTTCTGTGAGTTTCTAACCTCCTCCTGACCTCTAACCTCCTCCTGACCTCTAACCTCCTCCTGACCTCTAACCTCCTCCTGACTTCCTCCTGACCTCTAACCTCCTCCTGACCTCTAACCTCCTCCTGACCTCCTCTTGACCTCCCCTTGACCTCCTCTAACCTCCTCTGGACTTTAGGACATCCTGTTAGCGGTCAAATATAATACAAAATACATCCTATGTCTTTTCCTAGAATGGAAGATGTCATGATGTGAAGGAGAGTTAGTTAAAAGGACTCGACGAGTTCTCTCTAACTTTAAAACCTCCTCCTGACCTCCCCTTGACCTCCTCCTGACCTCCTCTTGACCTCCTCCTGACCTCCTCTTGACCTCCCCTTGACCTCCTCTTGACCTCCTCCTGACCTCCTCTTGACCTCCTCTTGACCTCCCCTTGACCTCCTCTTGACCTCCTCCTGACCTCCTCTTGACCTCCTCTTGACCTCCTCTTGACCTCCTCTTGACCTCCTCCTGACCTCCCCTTGACCTCCTCTTGACCTCCTCTTGACCTCCCACCTCCTCTTGACCTCCTCCTGACCTCCTCTTGACCTCCCACCTCCTCATGACTTCCTCCCCTTCTTGTGACCTCCTCTGGACTTTAGGACATCCGGGCACGACGTAGCCGGCTAACCTTCATGTGGATATAACGACTAAAAAGGAGAATAATTACACATGCAGAAAGTTACATTAATTTACTGTTATGTTTCCAAAGTGTGCTAAAAACTCACGTTATTGTATAATAATAATAATAATGTATATAACGCTCTTTAAAGTACGTCTCTAGGTGCTTCACATCAAGGGGAAACACATGTGGTGTGGAGTGCACCGAAGAACCATTTGAATATAGGTGTACGATAAATAAAACAAGGTGCAACTCATTCACGTTTTAAATGACGCTGCTGCAAGGAATTGTGGGACGGCATTATCTCCTTTCCTTTAGCAAAGGATGGTCCGGTATCTCCTTTGCTTAAGGAGACGAGAAAGGAAGCTCTTACCATCTTAATGATCTGAGGTCAGTTAGAAGATTTGTATATGGAGGAAATATCTCCTGGATTCATCTCACGCTGACGTCCTCTTCACCTCTCCTAGATTTCATGACTTTTCCCTGACCTCCTTTCCTTCCTCCTCCTCGCCTCCTCCTGAGCTCAGCCTCTTAAAAAAACTGACATTTGTGGAGAACAAACTCTTCATCCTCCTCCTCCTCCTCCTTTTCAAAACCTCCTGTCTGCGGCTTTTCATCTCCTGAACTCTAAACAAAGACATCCTCCTCGCTTCCTTGCTTCCTCGCCTCCTCGCCTCCTTTTTCCTCTTGCTTTGTGACTGCTTCCTCCGCTGAAGCTCCTTCTTACTCTTGATGAAGAGGAGGAGGAGGAAGAGGAGGGAAACTCCTTAAAACTTCTTCTGCTCTTCCTCCCTCAAACCCTAACTCCTCTCTCCTCTCTCCTCCCCCTCCAACCTCAGAGATAAAGCGCGAGGCGTCGAGTCTCCTCCCCTCGCCGTCTCCATCACAGACTAAAGCACAACAGATGGAACATGATGATGATGATGATGAGGAGGAGGATGAAGACCACCCGTCTGTCTGTTTCCTCTCTGCCTTAAACTCTTGACTTTACTAACTGAATGAAACGAGGAGAAGCCTTACTGGATGTATATCTGCTGTCTGATCCTCTGTCTTCACTGAGCAGCTGCAAATATACAATATTATCATTATTTGCAATTAAGGATTTATTTTTGCTAATTGATCTCAGATTTATACAAATTATTATTGTATTTATTAGTATTTTTGTATTCAAAAAATGTGTTGAATAAGATAGAAAGATATCCCACAGTCCAACATTTGATTTCGTCCATTTTATTTTTATTCTTTAATGTTATTTATAGATTTGTTTCTTCTAATTTAGTTACTTTTTTTTAACCGTCTCATGGCAAGGACAACGCATGGTATTAAGGTTTCTAAAAATATGTGAAAAAAGTCTCGTCAAAAACGGAGATATTTAGGTAAACAATTCAAAACAACGAAAAAACCAACGAATAAAAGTAGAATTTAAATATTGACATTTCTTCCAAAACTCATAAATAAAAACAATAGTGATGAATAAATAAAACTCTGACACAAGAGAGTGTGCAAATGAATTTATTTAGTCGACAAATCAAATGTTGGTTTTTCAAGATACGCAAAAAACGTACGATTTTTTTTTTTTTTTTTTTTTAATAGTGAAAAAAGTTAACTGAGATATAAGGTATAAAAGCCAAACAAAGATCCCCACTTCCAAAGATCATACATAAATAAAACCCTCAACATATCTTGACACAAGAAACATCTTTCCACACTTCCTACTTAGCGCTGGAAATAAAAGGATTTGGACTTTTTGTGTCAACATTTCTCCCAGGATTTGAATATGAAAGCATCTTCAGACCTTATTTCCTGTTACAGTCTCCTGATGCTCTGTTCGGAGAGTACAAACACCCCATAAGGATTTCACGAGACAATTCTGAGTTCCTGTTCTCGTTTCAGAGCTTCAGACCTGATTTCATCTCCTAAAAATCGACTATTCGGAGAGAAAAGAGTGCCAAAAACCCTAATAATGTTTCAAATGAAAGTCTGGCTGCCTTATCTCGCCTTCAAAAAGATACGTCATTTCTATTCGACACTCGGAAGAAGAAGGATTTCACAGAGACATTTCTATGAATGCTGGAGTTCAGACCTGATTTCATCTCCTAAGAATCGACTATTCGGAGAGAAAAGAGTGCCAAAAACCCTAATAATGTTTAAAGTGAAAGTCTGGCTGCCTTATCTTCAAAAAGATACGTCATTTCTATTCGACACTCGGAAGAAGAAGGATTTCACAGAAACATTTCTATAAATGCTGGAGTTCAGACTTGATTTCATCTCCTTAGAAATCAACTATTCGGAGAGAAAAGAGTCCGAAAACCTCCTGAAAACGTTTTGAATGAAAGTGGCTCTGCTCAGTGAAGACAGGTCAGAGGTCACGCCCCTCTTGCTGTCGGCGTCGCTCTGAGACGTTTGTTTTCGGTGCCTTTTTGTATTCATCTGTACAGAAAGCCATACGATTGTTAGCTGTACAGTTCTCTCTCAAACCGCTGGATCTAAGAACTCTCCGTGTTTCTCTTCGCTCGAAAGGACTCGAAGCGTCTCCTCGGATCAGCCGCTGTGTTTTGATACAAAGGAATGAATGGTAATAACGATGGCTCTCACGTTGGGCGTCCTGTTGAAGATGGATGTGTCCGTCGAGCTGCTTCCTGTTGTTCTCGTTTCACTTTGGGAGGAACAGGTTTCGTGTGTTTTGTCTCTGCAGGACACGAGACACAAGAGTCTGTTTTAACGTGTTAGGGCCGCACGAAGTGGAAGAAGCGATTTTTTTAAGAAGCGATTTTTTTTTGACTTGTTTTGAGGCTCGGTACCAAACAGGTCCACAATACTTTAATTTAAAACGGTATTGTAACGCTTTCATCCCATGTTTTTGTATTTTCGCACTAGTACATATCGCAATTTTGATCAAATTCCCATTATTGAGTCGCCATAGAACCGCCCGAATTCCAGATTGTATGCATTTTAATAACCACACAGTTATTTATGACTAAAGCTCATTATAAATGGATCAAATTAGTTATTGAGGGATCTGATCTGAGAAGGGAGTTATTATTCTGGGGAAAAATTTCCAAGAAATTCGTAGATTATTTAAACATTATTTGTATTCTATTTCAGAGAATACCACGGCATATTAGGGTCAATTAAATAAACAATATTATAACAAAGTAAGGGGTGATATACGGAGAGCTGGATTGGAGGGTTACGGAGATGGTTTAGAGGAAATAATTAATTTAAGAGATTAAAATCACACATTTACGGAAAAGAAAGTGTGATTCATCTGCGCTTCGTTGTTGTTTTACTCCTGCAGATCGTCATGGAGATAAAATACAAAAAACAATAACAAAATAATGTTTGTTTTCCTCCCAAAGTAAACTAATATCTTCGGTTTTTTTTATGTCTTTATCGGAATCAAGAAGAGAACAAGAGAGTTAATTTTTTATTTTTTGTTTTGGGAAGTTTACAAAAAAGTATATATTAATATATCGGTTGTTTTTATTTAATGTGGGAATAAAAGGCTGTTTGTTTGTTTGTTGGTGGAGAAACAGGAAGCTCCGTAACACGTTATTATCCTGTTGGTTTGATTCATTTTCATATTTTATTTTGGGAAATTTAAATTAATCGTAAACTGAGAGCCGTCAAGCAGAAATATTTTTACTTTATTTAATGTGTGTGTGTGTGTGTGTGTGTGTGTGTGTGTGTGTGTGTGTGTGGTTAAATAAAGTTAAGACCACTCTTTTTATGATACATTTAATTTAAAAAAATGCCATTTATTTTCTGCTCTTTAAAATGAAGACGAAACATTTAGATAATAATAAATGTAGTAAGCTGCAAAGAGAGATATTTTGCTTTTACAATTTTGAAAATATGTATTTTTTTCATGACTCAAAGTAAAAATCACTACAGACGAGTTGTTCAGAAATCACGGGGTTAATGATCTGTTATTATTTGTTATTATTGTTGTGTTCCTCCTCCTGCGTGTGGGGTCGTTCTGACGGGACGGACGGGTTTCCCTCAGTTTGATAGTTGTTGCCTCTGAACCTGTAAATACTTCTTTTGGTAAAGTTTTATATAAACACGGACATGAACTCAACGACTCTGCAGTTTGTCTTAATTTGTAGTTTAAAGCTCACCTATTTTTAAAAATCCTCTTCTTCATGTCTCTTCTACATCAACATGTGTCCCCTCTTCTCCATGTCTCTTCTACATCAACATGTGTCCCCTCTTCTCCATGTCTCTTCTACATCAACATGTGTCCCCTCTTCTTCATGTCTCTTCTACATCAACATGTGTCCCCTCTTCTTCATGTCTCTTCTACATCAACATGTGTCCCCTCTTCTTCATGTCTCTTCTACATCAACATGTTCTTCTACATCAACATGTGTCCCCTCTTCTCCATGTCTCTTCTACATCAACATGTGT